CTTACGGCCGTAAGAGCATCGTGTCAGCCTATTTTCACGCAACCAATGAAAAACCGGAACAGAAATGGCCATACTCTGTCCATAAAGGTACTCTGGAGGGAACGTGATATTCTGTCCGCTCAGTTCGGCAACGGTTGACCGAGTGATGGGCGGAATTGCGGAAAAAACTCACTCACATCCGTCGCGATGACACGTTTCCTTGGAGATCGTGCGCATCTTTAGCGTTCGATTTCTGGGTGCTGGAGTCCCCTCGTGGAAACCACAGTTATGGATGGATTTCTGGGACAATCTCGGAAAGACGTGAAAAGATTATTTCTCCGGAGAGGACATGTGTAATTTGTCGCGAGACGCTTCGCAGTTCATGACCGGGATATTCCAGTAACCTCATTCTCGATCAGATTCAGAACTGATAGAAACATGAAGGATTCTCTTATTTTTAATTTTTGATATCTTATTTTGTATTCTTATCTCCCTGAGAATGGCCAGGTTGAACCAAACCTGAATATGAAACTATATGGTAATTTCCTCTCTCATTCTATCTTCGTGCAAAATGAAATCAATCTCTAGGGGCCGTTTTTAATTTACTTAAATGACATTATTTTAAAAGCAAGGGCTTTGCTAGAAAATTGGAGCAAATGAAAGTAATTTTGACTGCGTCCTGCAATCAGAAGCTGTAATTTCTATTCCATTCGTAAAAAACATTTGAGTGCGTAACAAAACTAATGGTAAATACGTTGCCTCTGAACTGAGCGAGAAATTGCAGTTTCTGAATGCAAAATTTGGTCCATTTCTTTACTCTACAAAACTGTTGTACAAATGTATATTTTCTGTTGTACAAATGATTCGTATAACGCAACATAAACTTGTATACCTGGGAATGTACAATCGAACATCTGACTTTTCAAAAGAAAAACCGCGAGAAATCGTTTTTACTTTCAGTGACTGGGTGTTAAGGATCCAGGAAATAAACTAGCGGTGCTCGCCGACTTTTGCGTTCAACTTGCCGCAGACAGTGTACGATAGATCGAGAATTTTAAACCTTTTCACCACCAAGGTCCACGCCATTAGTATTTGAATCAGTGAGAACGAAAACACACCAACTCGGTAACTCAAAAATGCTCAATTTTCTTTAAAAAGAGTCAGTTTTCATAAAGGTCATTGAAGTTAACGCATCTGTCCCAACTTGGACCTTTATAATATCCTTAAGTACTTACTATTTGGGCACCAAAAATCTTTTCCTTGTGCCATACCTTCTTCAACTACTGTGCAGTTTTGCATGTGTTTCGGTTATTTCGAGTTGGTGTGTTTTCATTCTCACTAATTCATTTGTCAAAGAGCATTTATCACCGTGGCATTACTTTTCTAACAATAATATTTGCAGTGAAAGATGGTCCGTTAATTTTATAGAAAAATCGAATTTCCCACATGCTGTACTCTTTCTTGACACGGCAGTTCAGTTGTGTCTCTCTCGAAGCACGAGTGTTCCAAAGTCGATTCCACAAGCGCGCAAACATGATAATCGCGGACGATTCGTATTCGCGCACGGTCACCATCCTCGTAATCGCCACGCCTACCCCTTCAAACGTTTTGCCGGGTCGAGCGATGCTAATCTGTTTCCGCAACACCGAAATCTTGAATTTTCATAAGCACTCTATTTAATTAATAATTAAATCATCCGGCTGGCTCCCGGCAGCGTGCCGGTCGGTTTGAGCATCAAGCCGGAACGCAGTGTTGCCAGGTTTTTTCTCGTAATTGTGACCATCCACCAAAGAGGTTCCAATCCACCGAAACCCAAAATTGAGTTTGATGCAAGAGACAGTGTATTACACAGGCCCTTCGGACTGATTTTTGAAATTGATAGACAAAGTGATAGACAAAGAAGACATAGGGAGTATGGAGCGATCCTATTGGTTGAAGTGGGTGGTTCCTACAGACTAAGGGAGAAAACGATGGACTAACTATCGGGTCTCTCCTGGGTTGCTGTTCGTTAGTCTATTACCTACCTCGTTTGTCCATTGCAACCACCCGCTTCCACCAATAAGATTCCTCCATATATCTTTTGTCTTCTTTGTCTATAGCTTTGTCAATCAATTTCAATAATCGGCCTGTTTAAAAATTGTATATTGATTTTCTGTGAGGAACAATCAAAACGTCCGGCTGTTTTTAAAATTGTCCAAATTTTTTCGCTTGACAACAGAAAATTCACAAGAAAACATAAACATGTAGGTTTTCCCGTTCTTTCACTTTTAAAATTATAATGATCGCACAATTTTTAGACAGGGTAGTGGATATTGCCGCTTTTGAAACTAGACGCCTTAAGAGGAAAAGTTACTTTTGGAGTTTCGCCTAAGATACGCCTCAAAGATTGAGCAGTTGGTTTGACAAACCTTACTTACTTTGCTAAAATTCGCCTGACAAAATTCATCAATCATCATCAGCCGAATTTTATGCACGTCTATGCTCAGCAAGTTGCTCATCAATCATCATTTGACTAAAAGTAGAGCTGACCTAGAAGCTCAACGTTCGCTTAACCCGAGTACATTGCTCAGATTGTCATTGCAGGAACTCTAAATTATATTATCTCTATAAGCTATTCAAAATTGAAATTTGCCTTATCAGGGTACGTTTGGTTGGTGACGATTCAAATTTACGCCCTCCGTGGTTACAATTATGAACTGAATCACGTCCGGCATATTTCTTACACACCAGAAAAATATATCCCGTCAAAATTTCAAAATCCGATTTTTTGACACAACTACACAAGAATTGCTCAGCTGAAAATTCAAAATCAGTGAATGCTCACAACTGTGGAATCTCAGGGGTGCAAGTCAGTGGCGAGGCGTGAATGATGGATTATCGATATCTTCCTATTTGAAGCTATGGTAAAGAATCGATTATTAAGGTGTTCGTTGCGAACACCCTATTTATCGATCTTTTCCCATAGCTTTAGGTGGAAAATTGATAGATATATCGCAAAGCACGCCACGTCATTGGTGCAAGTCCGGAAAGTACATGGATACTGCAAAAGGAGTGTTCTTTTTTTTTACAAACGCTTTAATTATGATGCAACGAAGAATTTTCCCGAAATATTATGTAAAATTTTCATTAAATTTCAGGTAAAACGTTCGGCAACCTTGCATTTGGTGGCTGAATCATTTCTATGATTGTTTTTTCTCGTCTTCCTTTTCCTCCATTTTCCTTCCATGAATAACGCGAAAGGGTCAACGCTCCAAAGATGGACCTTTCCGGCTATGAAAAAATTGGTCTCATGACCAAATACACAAAGTCGGCGTTGCCATTTTATGCAAAAATGTACATATTATTGTAAAACAAACAGATGTTGAACTAAAAGCACGACAACGTTGTATAGCTACGCATGTGTGGGCGCACCTGTGGGTCCGAACCCTGAAGGTAGACTAGTTTAAAAAGACATTAACGCTCTCTCATAAACCCTCATAGAATTGAACAATAGGATGCGTGTTAACGTGTTTGTAGCTTGAGATTGCTCATACTGACCCATTTTTGCGGAGCATCACATTAAAAAGAGAGGGAGAAAAAATGAGAGGGATAGGAAGATGCATATGAAAGGGTTTTGTTAAAGTTTTACTGGCGCAAAAAGAAGAACAGCCGCACAGTTGATCGAGTACATAGGAGAGGTCGGACAACATTTTGAAACTTTAGACACTTATAACTCCGTGTATACCAAACTTTGAGGTCCTAAAAGTGATTTCATTGGTCTCCTCTTGACATTTTCTTCCAAAATCACCCCTTCAAATGTAAAATGGGACGAAATAAACACCAAAATTTGCAGTTTTAGTAAACAATTTCATACCCGACTCGTTTCCTACTCTTGCGTTCAAGTCTCTGAGGTTGTCTCTGAGTACATTACCAGGGTTGCCGTGTTTTCAGTTTTGGAGTCCCCAAATAAAGTGGCAGCCCTGTCAATGTATTTGCTCCCTATCTTTGCATGGACAGTTTGTTTTGATGTAAAGATGAACTCTCAGGATAGCGTGAGATATCCCTTCCATTTTGGCCTCAAGTTGAGAGCTTTTTTTGAGCTTGGGAGTTGATTTCAGAGAAAACCAGTGGCACCACCGTGTTTCTCGCGCGAACTTTTACAAATGAATCAACAGTCAAATCGCAAATTCCTCACACATGCAACATCTCCATTAAACCTGTGTCAAAAATCGATTATTGTCGGAGCATCTCGCCCCTCGAAGAATCGATATATTTCCATAGGTTTAAATGGTGGGAAATAATGTTGCCAATTTGCTGGATACTCCAATGAAAAGTCACCGGGAGCTTTTTCAGAAAATCTCTTAGGACCAACGTATGTGCCAGCGTGCTTAAATGGCAGCTCAATGGACGTTTATATATATAGATGAGCCAAAAGTACGGGTAAAAAAATAAGAAACACTAGAAAAAAACACATTGGATCTAGAGTCTAGACTCTTGAAAACATTGACAAGAAAAAGTACTCTTGATTCAATCAGATTTTTGCTTAAAATAAAGGAAATCCGCTCAAATTAAGAGGCTTGGTTCTTGATTTAAGCAAAAATCCGATTGAATCAAGAGTATTTTTTCCTGTCGATGTTTTTAAGAGTCTGGACTCTAGATCCAATGTGTTTTTTTTTTTTTCAGTGAAGAAAAATCTCGAGTCCGCTTGTCTCTTTGCAAAATCCCAAGAATTTCTTCTCTAGGATAAGAAAACTCCAATCCAAGTGGTTAGACGGTGCACGTTTGCGTGAATGCTGAGTTGGTGAACAAACACACGTATGAGAACTCATAATTTCTCCTAATTTGAAACGAGAGAACGCGCCCGGTGATTAACTTATGACTTCGCGAATCTTTGACCCAGATTTCATTGCCAGGAGTGAGAAACAGAGGCTGAGATAAGCTAGAGCGAGCATTGTGTCTGAAAAACGGCGGGCCAAGCCATAGATCATCTCAGGAGAAGAAAGTGTGACAGGGAAACTGCATCGAAAGTTCAAGAAATAATATCCACCTAAGTTTTAGAGATATTTTCTCTGTTTATTGAGATATTTCAATTCCACTGATACATCATGTCATGCAGTTGATGTGGGCAAAATCACCATACAGTTAAAATTATACAAACACAAACTGATTGCGGTAAACGCACTCGTTATATGTTGGAGTTTTTAACCAACGTGCGTTAATTGAAATTATGTTTATGATATAACTCATATAATTAAATTAGTTCATTAGTCAATATCATTTTCATTAATTCAATTATTTTATAAAAGTGGTACCTGTTACGTATAGTCCTGTTTACCAATGCATTACCTTCATAGTTATATTTAATGATTACTCGTGAAGATCAAATTATTGCATATTCACAAATAAAGATAAAATAAAGTAAAACGCAAAAATGGGCTCTGAGCAATGAGCATGGTGTCAACAAACAGAAAAATATCTTCCTTATGAGTAAAATTAAAAAATTAATTGTACATGAGAGGTTTGGGTCACGTACAGTTAGATTAGGTTAGTTTAGGTCAGGACATGTACCTATAGATTAGGTAAGGTTAAAGTTAGGTAGGGTAAGGTCGGGGAAAATTAAGTTCCGTGAAAGTGGGTTAGGTCTTGTAAGGTAAAGTTGGGTAAGGTGAGGTTAGGTTAGGTTAGGTTAGGTTAGGTTAGGTTAGGTTAGTATATGTTAGTATACGTTAGGTAAGTTAGAGTAAATAACACACGAAAAACAAGACTTGAAATTTGAAAAATGTTATAGGTCGAGAGAAGTCGCGATCGTTGACATCGTGATCAGATTTCATGAGAGTCAGACTTTTGTATTTTTGGATGGTCATAGTGTCGACAAAAAATTAGAAAAACTGTTTGTTGACACCGTAATCGCTGACACCATGCTACGTAATCTGGTCGATATGCTTTTTTGACATGGAGTTTCCATTATGACGTCATGAGGTACCCGCAATCATCGGAAATAGCTGGAGAGGTCTTTTGTCGGCCGAGACAGTTTATCGTTGAGTCGGTGGGGTATGTGTCTGGAGAGTTGACAGTTGAATGGTGGATTGTCGGCGGCGTCGAGGGCCCACCACGACCGCCCTCATCGGAAGACAGGTGCACACATAAGCTCCTGTGTCCTCGACGTTGTCAACTCAGAAACGGAAACGGAAATGGCGCTGATTACAAAAAAAAAATCAAGAAAATTTCGTCAAAATTTTGATTTCATGATAATTTTTTTCCAGGTTCATAACCGTCGTCATACCAAATGCTCTCGCTGAAATTTCACCGCACTGGGAAAAAAACACATTGGATCTAGAGTCCAGACTCTTAAAAACATCGACAAGAAAAATTACTCTTGATTCAATCAGAATCTAGCTTAAATCAAGAACCAAGCCTCTTAATTAAAGCGGATTTCGTTTTGATTCAAGCAAAAATCCGATTGAATCAAGAGTATTTTTTTCTTGTCAATGTTTTCAAGAGTCTGGACTCTAGATCCAGTGTGTTAGTTCTGTGTGACCCCAGAGACGGGGAATCGCACTCATAACGAACTATGAAGTCATTTTGAAAGGCAATCGATAGCAATCACTGAGCACGCTCTGCTATCGATTTATGTCATGAAAAACGTACTAAAAAAAGGAGAAAACTATTAGTGCTTTTTTCATCCATTGCGCAAGACTTGTCAACGCCAGGAAAGGAGAAGACAGGACTCCACAGAGGACACTCCATGAGGTCAAAAGAGTCATAGGACTCCACACCGCGATGGGCTCGCGGTACGTATAAAGGTTGCCAAAATGTATGAATTTGTCAGATTCCATCACTCGAAAGTAGTGAATTTTATCTGCAATACGTGGCAACTATGTTTGCAATGTGCATGCTCTATTGTGACGCGACACGCATGTTTTGTCTCCCCTTCGGACTAAGACTCCTAGTGTTTGATCGTCAATTTTAAATAATTTAGATTGTTAAAGTGCGGGTCTCTGCAATATCTGTGTCTTAAGTGCAAAACCGCATATCTCGGTTTGCAAAGTTGCAGTTTACTTCTTGTATTTCCTACAATTTTTTTCTTCCTATATTATTGCAAATACTACTTCCTGTATTATTACAAATATTACTTCCTGTAATATTACAAATATTACTTCCTGTATTATTGAAACTATTACTCACTGGGGAAAAAAGCACATTGGATCTAGAGTCCAGACTCTTGAAAACATTGACAAGAAAAAATGCTCTTGATTCAATCAGATTTTTGCTTACATCAAAAGGAAATCCGCTCAAATTAAGAGGCTTGGTTCTTGATTTGGGCAAAAATCCGATTGAATCAAGAGTATTTTTTCTTGTCGATGTTTCTAAGAGTCTGGACTCTAGATCCAATGTGCTCCCTGTATTAATACAAATATTATTTCCTGTAATATTTTAATTTTTCCCTGAAAAACTAGCAAACGCAACTTTTAAAAAAACTTTCCCTGATTTGTCATCGATGTCAGCAGGCTATTCTGTATGGGTTACAAGGTAAATAGTTGGATTTTTTCCCTCGGAAATAATAAAATAGGGGCAGAAATTTTGAAACATCGCAATAGAGGTATTTGCTTTTTCACTTCGGCCATCGGAATTTATTATCAAAATATTCTACATCCGGCAACGTGTAATCTCGGAGCGAAGCTCCCGCGCACTGCCCATCCCCCCGAAGAGGTTATAGTGCTATTAACACTAAGAATATTATCCGAATCGCCGGAGGCGAAACAGGCTCATCGCGCAACATCATATCTCATCTTTGGTAATAACACGGCTGCCCATAACGTAGCGCTTAGGAAAATCCTCCTTGAATTCTCGGTAGTTCTCATTCATCTGCTAAATTTCGAGCAAACCCGTTGTTAACACAGGCTTGCACGGTGTTTTAAATAATGCTGATTGAGATATTTTCGGAGCGGATTCAATGTCCGACAGTCCTCCCACACGAGCTCAGCTCTGATTCCTTAGGTCGATTCCCCCTCTCCTGGTCCTATATAATTATAATGTATTCGAATATTTTTTAATAATTTATTTTTTAATAATAACGCTCGATGTTATCTCGGTTTTTACCGAAAAATTTTCTCATGTAAAATTGACATAGTTACATCATTTGATGCACATTATTGGTTCATTTCAAGTTCGATTCAAGCACAGAATCCAAGTTAAAGTATAGTGGTATGGGTCAAGAAAAGCTGAACTGTTAGCCGACTTTACAAATATAATGTGCAATAATTGCTATATTATATTTCTTTCTGACAATTGAAGCTTCAACATAGTGATGGCAATTTAAGACCCTTCCAAACCTCAGGTGCTTACGTCAAATATTAGCGAAGATATTTTGGTTTTAACCACCGGTCCCCAACATCTCTCTTCACCGGAAGATATAGTTAGAATCTAATCCCATTCCATGTCCGTCAAAAGTTCCGGGATTTGCAACTGTTTTGTCTCCCACTCCATGACCGTCAAAAGTTCTAGGATTCTATGTAGATTTTTTCAAAAGTTCCGAGTAAGTTCCGGAAAATACAAAAGATCCGGAACATTTCGGGAATTTCAAAAGTTCTAAGAAAAATTCAGGAAAATCTCAAAAGTTCCAAAATTCGTTACTACTTCCGGGAAATGGGAGCACTGATTGTGAGTTAGATGGCGTTGCTTTAGGCTGCGTATTCCGGAAAAGTCAAAATATCCAGAACATTTCGGGGATTTCAAAAGTTCCGAGAAAAATTCAGGAAAATCTCGAAAGTTACAAAATTCGTTACTGATTCCAGGAAATGGGAGCACTGAGTCAGATGATGTTGCTTTAGGCTGTGATTACAATATCGACTCACCGCTGGCATTGAACCGTCTAGTATCATCGAGGATATAGTTAAGGAACTCTATGAGAAAGTACGGAAGGTCCCTCGGCTCGTTGTCTTCAGCTCCCTCGAGGGTCAAGTCGGAGTCTCCCAACGCTCCGGTGAGGTTGGCGGCCGGCAGGAGATTGCTGAAAAGGGATCTCATTCCGTAAGCAGCGATGCTTGCTAGCACTGCTGGTACTGTCTCAAAGTCATCTCCGCCCGCGTAACGGTTGTTGTTTCTCCCGGGTATTTTGGCCTTTATGGTTTGCATTAATTGTGGCAACATGGAGAATATCGACCCCATCTTATCCAGACCCCTCCCGCCCTACAAATTGAAAAATTAAAGTGGAAAAGTCGTTTTGGTGGAATGGTGTAGGTAGATTTTAATGATGGTGGTATCTGTGTGAAAAGGAATTGAGCATAACGTCAATAATTGTGTCGCAGCAGGAAGTAATTAACTATATTTTTCAATTAGGAACTACAATTGTTTACTCATTTCTAAGATGACTTATCTTCATATAGACACCAATGGCACTTACGTTGTTTTTGAAGTGAGCCGGAAATTGTAGTGCCTGACCGCGGAAGAAAAAGTAATACCAAATTGGCGGCGGATAAATGACCGAAACTTTGTACTACGAGCGTTTGCTGATAGATTCGCATTCGGGGTCCTATTTGTTTCTGGCTCGAAAAAAATGACCCTTTCGCTTCAAATTTTTTGAAATGCTGAATACTTTTAAAGTGGCGGCTGAGTTTCATGCGAATCCATCAGTATTAACGTCCGCAATACCAGTTCCCGCCATTTTTCGTTTCAAAATACTAATTAGGTAATTAAAGGGGATGAAGGGTACTTTTGAGACACCCTGTATAATACACTGAGGAAATAACTATGGTTATAATTACCATATTAGTGGTGTTTAATATGCACTCTTAATTAGTAGTGGCCATAACCAATAATATAGTGAGATTTTTACTGGAGAAATCGTAATTTTACAAGTGTTCGGTAGTAAAATTACCATTTAATGGTAAAAATATCTCTAGTATTGGTTATGGCAACCACTAATTGAGAACTCACATTGAACACCGCTAATATGGTAATTATAACCATGTTTTTTTCTCAGTTGACAGATAGAGGAAAAGCGAGTGAAGTGAGGCGAACTTTTTACGAATTAAAAAGTGTGAATAGCGATTATCATTGCACTCTAAAGTTTTTCTGAAAAGAATTTGTTGGCAAAAGAAGGCTCTAAAAATGGGTAGAAGCTAATCGTGCTCTAAATTCGTAGGTTTTTGGTACTATCTCTCTATGACTGCTGAAAAATTCTAGGATCAGAGTTTTGTGAACATGATATCCTTCTACAACGTTACCAAAATCACGTTTTGTCATTTTGAGACCTTCAGGATCATGTCACATAATTAATTGTAGACTCGACTTTAATTGAATGAGGAACTGTCAAATAATTAATCCTAGAATCAACTTTGATTGATAAGTGAAATGTCTTCAAAATTACGGGTTGACCGCGTATGAGCAATAGATGCACGTGTAGCCAAATATAATCTAACCAACAACATATGAATCACTCAACAAAATACAAATTTAAGGACAGTTTTCAATGTAAAGTTCGATTGCTTTGAATGAACAAATAGTTTGATTCTCACCTTAAGAGGAAACCACCGACAGAAACTTGATCTTTAAATTTGAAGTAACTGCACCGATTTAGTTGTAGCTTTATTACATTGCGAAGGTGGGGTAAAGTATGATTAAAATATCTTATGTATAAATTTTTAGAGGATGAGCAAAGCGAGGTTTTAAATTTTAAAACTTCCGTTTCACTTACTCGAAGTTACTAGATTGATTCAATTGCTATCGAAATCGTCGCAGGTTTTACAACAGTCATAAAGTCTTTATCGGGTCGTTATTAGTCAAATGCATGTTGCCAAATCAATGAATATCCAAATCTGACTTTTTACTCTCTTCGTGTTTTCGAAGCAGAAATTTGTCAGCAATATACTTATAACGTTCGATAAATTTTTAATTTTGCGTTATACGTGTAATTTGCAAATTATTTCAACATTTTAAGATTGATATTTAATTCTCGATTAACTAACATTTTCTTTCCTCTCATTTTTTATTTTTCTTACTATTTTTTTGGTAAATTTGGCAACTGTCTGAAATCAACGTCATTCCCTGCCAATCTGTGCATAAAGTGTTCAAGTTTGGCACAGGCCCGCGTAGCAATCAAAGTCTTTTCGGACAGCAATTACGAATTGAATTCCCAATCACTATAGACGATTAGCGGAATTTTTGGATTTATTGCATCATTTACACGCAGCACACCATTTTACTCCTAAGATTTTGAAGTAATAACTAAACTGCTCCATAACCAATCCTACTCTCTCTCTCATTATGTTGGCACAAAGCAGCCTATGAATGTCATGGAAGAGTTTACTCCATTTTTATGAACAGCCACACAAAATATGTAAGTTTCATTAAGCATCCTAATTTTTCCAACAGACGTAATCTTACGAAGAGGTTGCATAATATGTAAGAATGTGGCAATATAGATAACAGATTATTTGGAAATTATTTAAAAAATTATTATTTTGAGTTGGGTCTTTCAACATCTTTCTCCAACCCCTTCTTCATTTAAAAATATTATTTCTTGCGCTTGGGAGTTGACTCTCCAACCACTGGTGAGCTGCATCAAGCGTCGGTGAAATTTTGAGAGAGAAAGGACCATTCTAGCGGCTTACAATATTTTGCACAGAGTTTAACATAATATAACGCTCCTCACAGACGCATTCAACCGTGCTACCAGGCGCCGATGAGGTATTCTATCCTGTACGAGAAGCATCAGCGCATTGCACACAAACCTGCCGATCCAGTTTTGAAATCAATATAACGGCCGTATTCTAAATTGAAAAAAGAAGAAAACTCGAACGTATGACCTACTGCGGGCAGCTTCTTCCTTAAAACGATCGATTATCCCTACTGAAATTAGTTTTTGTTCGAAACATAATTGTAGGTGAGTTATTTCTTCGGTCTCTCGGCGAGATCAACTTTTACTAGTAACCGGACAGGGTCAAGCGAAGAGAGGCCATCTACAATCCGTCTCGATGAACTTTCAGTGCATAACGCACTTCAATATTGCAGCAAAAGTAGAAGCTGGACGCTGAATAAATAGGTATACTGAGATGAGCGGAGGGAATTAAGTCGCCTACAAACTTCACAAATCGGCCATTTGAAGAAAACCCAATATCTCAATGCGCGATAAACGAAGAGAAATGGTGACATTCATCGCTAGCACAGAGAAAAACTTGTAGCATGTGTATATAGACCGGTTCACGTTTGTATTTATTATTATTGGCATAGATAGACGATCCATCTATTTTTTTTTCCACGGCGGGTTTCGAGTGCGTCACACACAAAACGTATGGAGTGACTTTCTTACGGACCGGGAGGATTCGATCATTTTAATAAGCTAACAATTATTCGCAACGGAGGCAAAATAATTGGGTATTAATCCTGAGACTCATAGGTGAGACCCTGACCGTGGAACTTTCTCGGTTGAAAGTAGACTCTACGGACGTCTTGTGAAAAAAACAGCAGTAGATGCGCACGACGGAGCAGTGAGGCTTTCTTACAAATCAAACGCAGACGATTGCCATGTTCCAGTTCAGGTGGCAATTTAAACGATGGAGGTAATTGTATGTTGGTGAAGACCTGGAGAAACTGAAAGTAAAAGGTATGAGAGGGATGCTGCCAGGGGTTACGGTAAAAATCGTAACGGCATCCTGCTATCAAAATGGAGATTCTTTTCGCGTGCGCAAAGGCACGATCCAAAAAAATTATGAGCCCTTTGCCATTTTTTTAGGATGGTTGGACTCAGGATTAGCCGCTTTAATGTTTCGGTCGAGTCATCACATTTTAAATTCATACTGTAAGCTTAGTTTCAATTTTAAAATTCATGCAAAAAAATTAAACTCAGTGGTGGAAGATTTGACGTAAATTTGATGCACAGTAAATTGCCTTTTGCATTAAAAATTAAAGTAATATGTATGGCGCTTGCTTCATCAGAAAAGTCCTGGTTGTATTGAAACGTAGGTAGTCTTTTATAAAATGGAAAATTCACTTAAATTTTCTTTAAATCTCTTCATAGAACCGCATTTGGATCAAATGCAACAAAGAGGTGCCAATTTTTTTTCTTGTTTTTGTTTTTGGCGATAAAGAATTTGCTTTTTGTACAGAATTTTTAAATTTTCATTTCTCATGAAGGGAAGTTTTCATTTCAAAATTTGAATTTCAACCAACTGCAAGAGCCACGCTTCTTCGAATCTGACAGTAAAAGCTCAGTTTGTCTTCAAAAATCATCACTTTCTCTTTCAACTTTCTTTAACTTACTTCCGTTCTATTAAATTTAAAAAACCACATTCAATTAAGATATAAGAATAAGAACATTTGGTTCCATCTCAGATTTACTGGTGAAAAAGAAATTCAGAAAAAGGAACCAACAACGTCGTAACGCCTATGAGTTTTTGCAAGCAAAAACTGAGCACTTCCCTCACCCCTCATCTGCCAAATAACTCGGTTTTTTTCTGCTAAACTCGATCAATAGATCGTATTCGATAGTGGTTCGATGTATTGCTTGGTTTTTATGGATTCTATGGAAAAATTTTGGATTTAAATGGAAAAAGCTGAAAATGAGAAAAATTCGTAACAATTTCACTTTTCATTGCCACTTTATACTCACAAGAAACCCGTTCCCTCAGATTACTCAATTGACTTTTGAGGCTATGTTTATATGTTTAACCAATCGACATCGATACAATCTCACCTGTTTGATGTATCGAATACAATCCATTTGTGACTGTCTTCATTTTTGCGGTAAAAATTGAAAAATAGAGACATCTCTGCCCGGGGTTGAAACAACGAACCAAGCTCGAGGAAACGGGGCAAAATAGGTGAATATCCGAGCCCAGAATCCACTTGCTAGGTGAAGCACGTAATTTTGAGGAATTTCTTTTTCCCTGATTTCAGCGGAATGCCTGGCCGGACGCGCGTAATCGCCAAGCTTCTCACGTCATCGCCGACCAGGCGAATCAGTGAAATAAAAATGTTCAAAGCTCTCCGCGCCGCGGTGTTGCTAAATTCAACAAAAATTCGATTCAATTTTCATGATTTCGATTGAATTTATATTCATAAAACGCTTTACCTCGGCAACATGATGTTTGCCCAGTGTTGTCGGATACCTAATCGGTATGTTAAACAGTCGCACTTTCAAGGTACCGGCCGCACTATTCGTTTAGTGTGACTGTGATTTCGGAAAATGATTCACAAAAAAAGAAAGTTCGAGATTCAACTACTGGACGAGACGATAACAAGTATTTTCAACACCGATAAAACGGGCGTTAGATTATAAACATCACGTCATTTCTGTTGATATCCAGATCTTCTCTGTATGAGTCGTTTTTCATATGAAATTTTGAAGAAAAAATATATTACACAGTCTTTTAAATATATGCACCTTGTATACTACCTTACTGAGGAAGAACACCGTTTAAACCCTTATTTTCTGCCAGATTTCCTTGGGTATAAATTAAGATTTTCCGGGAAAATTTGTAAATATTTTTCTTCCAATTTTTTAGATAATTTCGTCCGCAATTTTACATAAAGTTCTTGAAAAAATTATCAGAAAAATATTGATAGCTTCTCTCAAAAATAAACATTGAGTCAGAGGAAACTTGGCAACTATCGAATGGTCACAAGACGTTTTTCCTTAGCAAGGCAGTATAGAGGCCCATTAAATTCCTAAAAGCTTTAATCTCAATAGAATCCTTTCAACGCAGATTTTAGGCAAGAACTTGGCAACAAGTATGAGTAAGGATGCATTTGCATCAAGATGATATATATGGTCCATCGATAGATCAAAATTCGATATAAATCATTTTGAGGATAGCACTTATCCCGAATCACGCAATCGATACATCTTCCTTGCGCGGGAGCCGGGAGTCAACCTGCACTCGGACGTGGCAATTATATTAGTGCATCGTGTAATTTCATGCAGATTACCCATTATATCGACGCAAAACGCAGTGTAATTAAATTCCAACCGTGGTCACACGACCCGCATTGCTCGATTTTCAACAGCGTTGAATGGACCAACGGACAGGGTGAGAATTGCAGCGATGAAAGCTCTTATGATTGACATTGAAATAATCTTATCTCCGTTGTAACGTTTTAATATTCGACTCTTTTAAAAAAATTTCCTCAAAAGTCACTTGTAAACCTGTTAAATTTAGTGAAAAGAATGTAGGGCGGAAAAATGTATATAACTCCATACCAAAGTTGCGCAACATTGATTCAAAAATTGAATTATCTATACTGCCGTGCTGAGGAAGAACGCCGTATGAACCTTCAGGCGTTGTCAAATGTCCATTTATAAGACACGAATTTCCTGCACGGAGAAAAAAACCTCGTGCGTGGGACCCGAAATTAAGGTCATATGGATTTCTGAAGTTTTCGGATTGAGCATCTGAACACTTTAGGTCTAGTTTTCGAGGTTTGGATCACACATCTGAAACTCCAGTTCTTACATCTGAAGCACCACAGTTGTGAGAACCGAAGTTTTTCGAATGTGAGAATCGAAGTTGTTCGGATGTGAAAACCGAAGTACTTCAGATGTAAGAACTGAAGTTTCAGATGTGTGATCCAAACCTCAGCAGCTGGACCTAAAGTGTTCGGATGCTCAATCCGAAAACTTCAGAGATCCATATGACCTAAACTTCGGGTCCCACGCACGAAGTTTTTTTCTCCGTGTGGTAAACTTATAAATTTTTGTCCCCCAATTTTTCAGGTAATGGTATTTGCAATTCCACCTAAAATTCTATTCAATTATTGCATATTATATTTGTTAAGTTGGCCAATAGCTCAACTTTTGTTTTCCCATTATGAACAGCAAAAAACCAAAAATCTTATGTTGCTCACATGCATGTATCTAGGTGCATAACAGACCTAATGTGAGTAAGTCTAACAAAATAGTTTTTGAAAGCACAAAGTATCCGACATTCATCTGACGGGAGGAAGCCAGACTTGAGACAAGCGATAGAAGCGCTCCTCGCGCCATGTCCAATTTTCGACGGGCGCTGACGTTACGCGATTCGGGTTGACATCATTGGATACGGTTTTTATCTCGCTCAAACATTCCCCGAAACATCTTTGTCTCCTGGCCAGTTAGCAACCTCCTCCGTTGAGGTAACTACCCATCAATCCAGTTTTGGGAGCAACGCATCTCACGGTACCACTTGATGTGGTTTGATGACTGTTCTGCGAAATCAGAAGTATTTCAAAAGTCGATCTTTCCGCGTTAGTTTTAACCCAGTTGAATCGTGCGATCCATTATAGTTGCTCCGGCGTCTGGGCTTCGACAATTAATATGCTCTTTCATTAAAAGCTGAATCTCTAGATATCGGTAATATGTAAGACGCTTTGATCTTATATCAGTACACTGGAAAAAAGTTCCAGCTGTGAAAGCCTTAATTATGGACCATGTAAACATACCGTCCGTTCCGGGTTCAGAAGCCGAAAGTTCCGGATGTAACAGCCGTTGCTCCGGTCACTGAACTCAGAGCAGTCAAAGTTCGGCCTCAGCCCAATTTTTTCACCTAATTTCTTCTATTCAGCAAAAAAGTATCGGTCATAATGTTAACGCCACTCCAATTACTTTATCATAATACAATTTTGGGAAACAGAGGAAAAATTCGGAGAATCCTACGTTCTCATTTGTCTCCGCATTCACAGATACAAATTAACTCTTCACTTCATCTCGCTTATCTATGCCTCCATTTGAAAGTTCATTCAGTAATTCTCTATTCTACTCACGGTTTGAGCTTTTTTATCCAGCACGATCAATATAGCGCATAAAATATAGTTCTAATCACCTTTACGAAGAAATTAAGAATGCGATAATATTCAATGATCAAGTTACCTCCCCGAAGGTGTCTTGGAGAAATACATTATTAAAAGATTTTCCACACTTTACTTCTTTCTACGCCGGTATAGGATTAGTCGTCTAAATGGATAATCTATGCATGTACGAATTCCTGACTGAACATAAGAGACTGCAGAGTGTTCGATTTATTCAGCACGTATCGCTACGGCTCTAATAAAAACTAATTTTTATCGTCAAAATGCTCAGTCCCTGCACAGTAAATAAACTTTAGATAATCCTATACCCTGTTTGCAAGAGGTGCAAACTGCTTAAATGGATTACATTTTGCAATAAGGAACCACTATTTCTGGCCCATTTTATAAACAACACACATACCATTGGTTTTCCTGAGCAGATAAGTTCTTTTATGGGAGTGGGAGAGCCAGAGATAATGGTTCCATAGGTATTGCAAAATGTAATCCAATTGTAGTGACAGCCGGAGGCAAGAATTAAGTTGACAAAGACCCTTGAAAAAGCACGAGTGCACGATGGTTTTATGTGATAAAATCATACCATGATATCAGCAATAAAGATTGTGATAGTGAAATTGCAAAAAATGCTGGATTCCAGAACCAGTAGCTACCGCGTTGCACATGGGCTGTCATGCCTAAGGTCTCCGTGGCTTGAATTAAAACCGATATTTCGTTGTGACTGCCATTAGTTGAAGCTGACGTTTTAGAGAATGGGCACCTCATATTCACGTTTATTAAGATATAACTTCGAGAGAATATGCTACAATTTGGCACCGAAAACTTGAAAAATTGAAACATAAAACTTTGGATTACAGTTTTCTTCACTTTGACAGCTCTGCCGCGGTCTTTTTTGAACTACTTTAAAGTAACAGAGCAATTATACTTTTGGAGAGTAGAAGACTCATTAGGTTATTTGATTCAATGTTTCAAGCTTTATAGATTCATCCATTCTCTGACAGCTAAGGTGCAGAGGATGAAAGAAAGTGTAGCCATACTTCCTATTCATTCAGAACAACACTAAGCAAATAAACAATATTTCATCCATATCTCAAAAAATTCAACTTTCTTCATGATAATCCTTACTACAGACAAATGACAAGTTTGCAAACATCTTCGGAGTTTGCATACACACATTAGTGAAGTTCATCTTAAAACACCCTTGATTTTATCGTGACATTTAATACCACCACCATTTTAAATGAGACCATAGTTGAACCGATTATAATCCAAATCACATAAGCGCCAAAAATGCAAATGCGAGAAAAGCAAGACGTTTTATTCTCTTTATGGACATAACTTTTGAATTCCAAAAAGTGTGTGTTCTTTTAGAAGGCTATTTTGAAATCAGACATGATCGATTATACCGGAGAAAACAAAGAACAAACAACCCCTCTACCACTAAAATAGAGATTGACGCTTACGCGATTTGGAAAATAATCGGCTAATTGAGGGGTTGAGTGCAGAAAGGACATTTCTTGATTGCGTCGTTTTAGAATCTCCACTGCTAATTTATATTTCAGAGAGGAAACTATTCGGTGAATTTTCTGGAATGTTTAGTTTTCAGCATTTTAAAATCATAAAGTAAATTCAAAAATTTTTCTAACGAATTTGATTCATTTTCTTCAATTATAGCGGATGAAACGTTAACAAAAATCCTGAGACACCCCAACCAAGAGATGCCTTTTCTGCACCAAGCGCTTCAATTTTGCGGCACGAGCATGAAAAACTTCACCTACCTTGTGCGATAGATTTACGGAGATTTTGAGTTCCAAATTCAACAAGAAATCCGCAACCCTTCCCGAGTCGAGACTTCCCGGCGGTTTTAGGAAACCCTCGAAAAGTTTCCCGAAATCGCAGTTCAAAAATCGCGCACTGAACGCGCACTTCAAAGCACAAATCTACAAGAGTGACCAGTCCTCCCAAAATAATGGATATTAAAAAAAACTACGAGTGAAAAAAAAGGTGTGTTCGTTATAAAAACAAATATTTAAAGCAACGATCTCTCGAGAGAGGAAAGGATCCCGGGCGTTGGGAGGCGGTTCTGGGAGCGCTCGGAAGTCGGAAGAGATTCGCGATGCGAGAGGAGATCCGATTCGAGCGTCGGAGCGGACGAGGTGCTCACGCGAAGACAGGTCGTGGCGAGTGATGCAGGAGTGATGAGCCGGAGACTCTTCTGGTAGCCGACTCATCGGTAGTGCACTGGAAAAGCAGCCGGCAGGGGGCACGGGCCGGGGGGCCGGGGGGTTGGGCAGACCGCGCCGAGGGAGGGCGGGGGCACCGTTTAGTGGTTGGGACCCGGCACTTGCCCCGCGTACTCCGACTTGGAGCGCGGAGCTTTCAGGATTTCTGCGGACGTGAGCTTGAGCTTTCGCGGGGCTTTCGTGCAGGTGGTTTTCTTGACACAAGTTGGAATGTACCTACGTTCTCGGAACATGGTTTAGGTTATAAGACGAAAACGTTTAAAATATATTAAAATAGTTAGTTAGTTAGTTAGTTAGTTAGTTAGTTAGTTAGTTAGTTAGTTCGTTCGTTCTTTAGTTAGTTAGTTAGTTAGTTAGTTAGTCAGTTAGTTAGTTAGTTAGTTAATTAGTTAGATAGTTAGATAGTTAGTTGGTTGGTTGGTTAGTTAGTTAGTTAGGTAGTTAGTTAGTTAGTTAGTTAGTCAGTGAGTTAGTCAGTGAGTTAGTTAGTTAGTTAGTCAGTTAGTTAGTCAGTGAGTCAGTCAGTGAGTTAGTCAGTTAGTCAGTTAGTTAGTTAGTTAGTTAGTTAGTTAGCTAGTTAGTCAGTTAGTTGGTTAGTTAGTTGGTTAGTTAGTTAGTTAGTTAGTTAGTTAGTTAGTTAGTTAGTTAGTTGGTTAGTTGGTTGGTTAGTTGGTTAGTTAGTTAGTTAGTTAGTTAGTTAGTTAGTTAGTTAGTTAGTTAGTTATTAAGTTAGTTAGTTAGTTAGTTAGTTAGTTGGTTAGTTGGTTAGTTAGTCAGTTAGTTAGTTAGTTAGTTAGTTAGTTAGTTAATTAGGATCAGGGTGTCAAAATTGAATGGATAATGTTGAAATTTCTCGTGAAATATTTTATAAAATTTCAGAAATTTATGAAAGATACTTAAAAATACTGCTTTCTTTTCACATTTCGCAATATGTAAAAATTGTGACTTTCTTCTGCTCGTGTGTTTGAGTGCGGGTTGCATACTATGTATAAAGCCGCTTTTATAGCGCTCTGCGACCCCTAGCCGCCAAAGTCCCAAAGTGCAATCCCGTAGAACCCTTTCGCCTATATATAACTCAATGCTTTCTCGGGCTCACCCTCAAGCGTCTTTACGCCCTTTTGTCAGTCGAGCGCGTAATATTCGGTCCCTGTGGGCTGATTATCGAAATCGATACATTAGACTAACAGATCTGTTATGAGTTCTGATCTGCGCAAAACGGGAGGCGGAAAGGAAACAAGAAACAACTATTTCGACTTTCATGTGATGTGGTAGAGTATCATAGTATTTGAAGGCGTTTTGAAATCACAAATTGAGTACCAATAAGAGCGGCAAGACTGGTGCCCACTTTGTGGTTTTAAACGGTGATCAAATTAACTTCTTCAGCGAGCTGATTATTGAATTTGATATTGACAAAGCGGTAGAAAAAAAAGACTAACTGAAAATTAAGCGATCCTATTGGTGGAAGCGGGTAGTTGTAATGGACAAAGGAGACAAGTATACTTGCCTGTATATACAAGTATACAAGTATGCAAAACAAGGGGAGTATAAGAGAGACGGAAAGGTACACTTTTCTAACTGATCGTTTGAGTCTCTGGATGTGTGACTATCTCACGGCAACCTACGAGAGATCCTGGATTTAGTCAATCATTTTCCTCCTTAGTCTATGACAAACACCCGTTCCAACCAATATGATCACTTCATCTCATCAGCGGGCTGATTATTGAATTAGATGGACAAAGAAGACATAGGGAGTATGGAGCGATCCTATTGGTTAAAATGGGTGGTTGCTATAGACGAAGGGAGACAATTATGGAATAAATATAGGGTCTCTCGAGGGTTGCCATTATCGAAAGATGATGTGTCCCTTTAAAGGAGGGTATTTTGGCCCTAACTTTGGTTAAAAAGTGAAACAGCTTAGAACAATGTCACGTATGGTCAAATTGAGTCTTAATCATCTACCCTGTGAGAACTTGCCCTTATTTATGGTGTTTTTGAGAGGTTTTTGCCTGATTTACCAGCGCAAAATAGTGAAGTTTTGCAGTTTTCTCGAATAATTACTCATTTTCGGTCCTGAATTAGATTGTTTATGTATGAGCACAAGCGACTACCACTTTCTCCTTTAAATATGTTGTAATGGGTGTACTAAAGGTTAACATATTCGAATATGAAAGTGGAATTCGCTTGTGCTCATATATAAACAATCTAATTTAGGACCGAAATGAGCAATAATTCGAGAAAACTGTAAAACTTCACTACTTTGCGCTGGTAAATCAGGCAAAAACCTCTCAAAAACACCTCAAATAAGGGCAAGTTCTCACAGGGTAGATGATTAAGACTCAATTTGACCACACGTGACATTGTTCTAAGCTGTTTCACTTTTTAACCAAAGTTAGGGCCAAAATACCCTCCTTAATGGAAACGTCCTTTAGTCCAATACCTATCTCCTTTGTCCATCGCAACCACCAACAGGTCTCTCAATGTTCCTTTCGTCTTCTATTTCTACAGCTTTGTCTATCAATTTCAATAATCAGCCCGCTGATGCCACGCGCCATCTCCGCGCACGCCTCTTGTTGCAAAGTTCAACTGCAGTTGAGTCTGCTACCGAGTGGCGAGCTGCTGTCAGCGTGCCAAGAAAGCAGGCAGGCAATACCTTCATGAGGTGTAACAACCGGACACCTCCTGCATGATAACCACTGAAAGTTCTGGCAGTCTTGTTCTACTCTTCACATAGGATTCCATCGGGCACCTCGTTCATTAACGTCTATCACGGCTCGATTCAAAATGGTTGCGGACAAACATTAAATTAAAGTGTCTCTGTCCACGGCGAGGACTAATAACAGCCCGCTCGTCGAGCGTTTAGAGTGTCATGAACCTGGGATCTATGAGAACGTAGGTGTGAACGCTGGACGGGGAGCCGGCTCCAGATTACACCTTACCGCCATGACGGCTTAATTCTCTGTTATGAGCGAGGGGCAACATAAATACAAACGCCGGAAAGGGTGAAAATAGGGCACTGTTGCCAGTTTGCAGTTATTTGTCTTTAGAGTACCTTTATAGACAGAGTATGGCCATTTCTGTGCCGGTTTCTCATTGGTAGCGTGAAAATAGGCTGAGATGATGTTCTTATACGGCCGTAAAACCCATAGACATAAAGACGGAGCGCTCGTATCTAAAAGCACGGGGAAAAAGTGAAGCTAGGTTCGGCGCTGCGCGCTTGTGTGAGTGTGTAAATGAGCGCGGGAATCCATGGCGGCAAACGGAAATTTGATTTGAACTTGTCCTCTTGATTTTTCCTTATTTCTTCTTCGAAACGTGTTTTAAATGCTTAAAACGATTATATTAAGAAAGTTCGGTCTGCGTCCTAATATATTACACCTACTTTTGCTCGGTAACAGGCAGTAATCTCAGATAAAGTTAATTTTTCTTCTGCTTATGGTGGTTCTGCAGGTTCAAACAGGCCGTTACAGTTCTAGATCTACGTTACTCCCAAATGAAATCAGTCGGTCGACGACGGACCGAAACTAACCTAAAGTTAATAAAATATGAGTGTGTACCTGAATTTGGGCAAAAATCAACCTAAAATACTTTGTTTCCGCAATTTTATTTATTAGTTCCCGCCCTACATTTGAATTCAAACTTGTCCCGATTTCGCCGCCAATCCTCTAGCCAATAGTAGAGGTGATTGAAAAGAAGCTCTAGAAGCTTCATTTTTTGCTTTTAGTGCTCCGTCTTTATGTCTTTGGTAAAACCAAACAAGATGGCTGCTATTAGCAAGCAAGTTTGAGGTTATGCACATCTCACATCCTCCTGCGATAAAAGCGAAAGGTAATTTTGCCGTGTTTTCATGTGTTTTTCATGTGTTATTCGTAGATATGCTACTTTAAATTGTTACTGCCATATAATTGAAATTTTTTTTCAAATAGCTATTCTTATCAACGTTACGGTGAGTCACCATCTCGTTTGTTTATTTACGGCCGTAAAAGCATCATGAAGCATAAAAACTCGTTGACCAATCAAAAAGCGGCACAGTTTTCCTATAGTAAAAATATACAGATGGCCATACTCTGTCTATAAAGGTACTCTATTTGTCTTAAGGTGATTCGATGGACTCCATATTTGAATAAAAGAGAACGGAAACACATCAACTCGGAAAAATGAAAGTAGTCAAGACACATACAGAACTGCACAGTGGATAAAGAAATTAGTCTAAGGAAAAGATGTTTGGTGCCAAAAGACTGGCACTTACATACTTTTTAGAGGTCCAAGTTGGAACAAATGCGCTAACTTCAATGACCGTCATAAAAATTGACCGTCTTCAATGAAAGTCGCGCATTTTCGAGGTATCGAGTTGGTGTGTTTTCGATCTCACTGGTTCATTTTGTGTCAAAATAACATGCGATATATCGTATCGATTGGTTCCATTTTTCAGCTACTCGTCATTTTTTTTTTTTTTTTTTGAGTTTTGAGATCACGCTTCTCTTGTCATGAGATTAAAGAATTCATGAACCGAATTCGACCAAGGAATTCAACGTAATGAATACGTAGTTTTTTAGAGAAAATATCGCATTCGAATGCAGTTTCGATATCGGTATCGAACGCTTTATATTTCCTCTAAAAAAAAAAAAGTCTTCATTTCGTTGAATTTCTTTGTCAAATTTGGTACATGAATTCTTCAATCTCATGACAACAGAAGTGCGATCTCAAAAT